GGAACTCTGGTCCCTTTACTCCAAATTTAGCTTCTGTTTTCCTATTCTGAACAGGCTCTTGATATGTTTCTCAAGCCTGAAAGACAGGTAGGAATCAGAAGAGAGAGAGAAGGGGGTAGGATTGGGGAGGCAGAGAGCAGCAAACCCAAGGGGCAGCCCTTCCCTCAGAGGGGGAGAGCATCCCCCAGGATCCGGGGAATGAGGCCTTCAAGGACAAATTAGCACGATTCAGTGGAGAACACACCACACTGGGAGGGGATGCAAGGGCCCTCGTGGGCTCTACAGGGAACTCACTGTATCCCCCAGGCCCATCACTTCTCTCCTTGGGGACTCAGTTTTCCCATCTGTACACTGAAGGGGTTGGGCTAGATGATCTCTAAGCCCCTTCCCAGTCCTGACATTGCCTATTCTAAAGACCCTCCCAGCTCTGACATCCCGTGTTCTAAGACTTCTGCCAGCTGACATCCCCTGCTCTAAGGTCAGTCCCAGCTCTGACATTCCCTGTTCCAAGACTCTTCTCGGCTCTGATATTCCGTGAATCTATGGTTCTTTGCGCTCTCTTTCCAGCTTGCCCTGCGTGCAGGGTGTGTGCGAGGGGCCATAGTATCCAGCCAGCAATGTTGCTTCTCGTGAATAATAGATGGGGAAATGAAATATTCAGTGCTAGGCAGCCCAGGGCAGCCCAGGGTGTGGAGCAGCAAGGCTGGGAATCCATCCTCCCTTCCCTTGCAGCTCGGATGACTCCCGTGTGGCTAAGCCCCACCCACAGTCCGTGTTCTCCCCGGCAGGAGCGTGGAGCTGGTGCAGCAGGTGGACGAGGACGACGCCATCTACCATGTGGTCAGCCCCGCCCTCGGAGAAGCCCAATGCAAGCCCCAGGACTTCGTGATCCTGGCCTCAAGGAGGAAGCCGTGTGACAGTGGGTGAGTGGGCAGCGGCTGGACAGCTCCTTCCTCCCACTTGGAGAGGAAGAGTCCCACTGGCAATGAGCTCAGCCCCAAGTTCTCTCAGAGCCGCGAGGCCTCGGTTTTTGTCTTCGGTTTGTAAAGTCATGGGGAGGGGGACCCTTGAGACACAAAGCAGCTGCCATATACTGGTAGAGCACACGGATGTGGTTGTGCCTCTCACAACAAGCCTGTTATTTTTACCCATGGGGAAAATGAATCTTAGAAAGTTCCATCACTTACTCAGGGACACAGAGCTAGTAAGTGGGGGAGGGGGACACTTTGGCACCCTAAGTACAGGGTGATGTCCAATTACATCTTGTGGTCTAACAGGGAATGTCAGAGCTGGGAGGGACCTTAGAACTGGAAGAGACCGTAGAGCAGGGGATGGCAGAGCTGGGAGGGGCCTTAGAACAGGGGATGGCTTAGTTGGGAGGAGCCTTTTCTGATTCTCCCATGTGTTAACTGTGTCCCTCTTAAAATTACTTTGGATTCCTTTGCATGTGCTCTGTGTTTCTTTCTCTTTGTACATGTGACATCCTTTTCCTTTTTGTCTTTATATTTCCATTAAATCCTGGCTTTTCTGCTTCTTTTGTTGTCTGATTTTGGCCAAGTCACTCGCCAGGACTGGGCCCCAGGTGAGAGTTAATGATGGATTAAATTATCTCGTAATGTTTCTTCTAGCTCTAGATTCTAGTATTTTTATTTGAACTGATGTTTTTTCTTTAAAGAATTTTTTAAAAAATAATTTGGGTGTGAATTAGGAAATAGACTAAGAAAATGAACCCCAAATGTAATGGCCACTGGCCACGGAGAGCCTGGTCCTGGGAGTCTGCCCAGGCGGTCCTGTGGATGTTTGGCGAGCTGGACACTAGGGCCGTGGGCTGGTGGAGGGTGAAGCCAGCTCTCTGCTTAACAGCGTGGATGAGGCTGTAGGCTTAGAGCTGCAAGGCCCCTCCGAGGCTACGTTGTTGGACCTCCCCTCATTTTAGAGATGAAGCCCACCAGGTGAAGTGACCTGCCAAGGTCACACAGGTCATAAACAGGCCTTGAGCCTAGGTCCTCAGACACTGTGGCCTGCTGCATCACAGATGGGCTGCGTGACCTTGGCTGTTCGTACTGTTTGTCAGGCTACAAATAAAAAGACTCCGGACCAGGTCACGTGAAGCAGGTGCCCTGGGAGGGAAAAATAAAGTGCAAGTAGGGGGTGTCCTCCCCAGGGTGAGATGGCCGCGGTCTCCTAAGCCCGACAGAAAGTGGGGGGCTCTCTCTCTGTGGATTGATCTCCATATAACCTCCCTCTACTTCTGTTCTAGGGAGCCCTATGTCATTGCCCTGAGGTCAGTCACCCTGCCCACACACCCCAAGACCCCTGAATACACCAGAGGGGAGACCCTCTGCTCCGGCTTCTGTCTCTGGAGGGAAGGGGATCAGCAAACCAAGGTAAGGACCAGGGGCCCCTGTATTCTGTGACTGTCTCCTCCCCTGCCCAGACCCTCTTCTCTCCCCAACCCCATGCTGCAAAGAGCTCTTTTTTTCATTCAATTTTATTTTCAGTTCCAAATTCTCTCTCTCTCCCGACCCTTCTCCCACCTAGGGAGAAGGCAAGAAATACCAAACCCATTACATGTAAGATGTCACACATAACAAATTTGTGCCACATTGTAAATAACGTGGGAGCAGAATGAGTCAGGAGTGAGAAGAAAAGCTTGCATTCCTCAGGCACTTTACTCCTGCCATCTCCTCTGATCCTCATCATAGCTTGGGGGAGTTGCACCCCCATTTTACAGATGGAGAAACTGAGGCTCAGAATGAATTGGCTTGGCCATACAGTTAGCAAGTGGCAAAGCTAAGCTTTCAATACGGAAGGTTTTTCATTCCATTTTTATTGTTATTTTTTGTTTTTATATCACCTCTAATTTGAGAGAGAGAGACAGAGAGAGACAGAGACAGAGAGAACCATCTTCTAGAACAAAGAATAAAAGGGCCATTTAATTTCTCTGGGCCTCAGTTTCCTCATCTGTAAAATAAGGATAATTATAGTATCTACCTCACAGGGAGAACAAATGAGATAAGTTTCAAAGTACTAAGTAAAGGCCAGCTAGTGTTTTTTTTTTAAAAAAAAAAGAGGGAGAGATAGCTAGGTGCTGCAGTGGATGAGCTCCAGCCTTGGAGTCATGAGGACTTGAGTTCAAATCCAGCCCTAGACACTTGATGCTTACTAGCTGAGTGACCCTGGGCAAGTCCCTTAACCCTGATTGTCTCACCAAAAAGGAAGAGAGAGAGAGAGAAGACTTGAGCAAAGCCAGCCACCAGGTAAGGACAGTGTGCTGACAGAGGCTTGTTTGAGTGATAATCCTCTGGATGAGAAGGCCCATGGCAGTTACTGGAGAGCACTGGGTAAAGAGCTAGATGGCCTTCCAGCTCAGCCTGGGGCCCAACTTTGCCTCTTAGCTGGCTGTGTGACCTCAGGCCAACCACTTGACCTCTCTGAGACTCAGTTTCCCTTTCTGTAAAATCCCTCTCCACTTGGTGGGGAACTTGGGGAGAAGGCTTCCCTATAAAGTAGGGGCTGAACTAGACCCACTGAGCTCTACCATTTTGAGATGACAGTCTCTCCTCTGCCTCCCTCCCAAGGTTGCTGTGAGGATCAGATGAGGTCATGATGATGAACAGTGATTATAAACTGTGGGGTCCCTGAAAACATGAGGGATTATGAGGAAGAGACTAGTATTTGTGCTCAAAGATGGGGTTTTTGCTTTCAGGACTACAATTCTCTGACTCCCCACAGCTCAGAAACACTCAGCAAAGATTGGATGGCCCTTTTGGGTAGTGGAGATGAGCAGATAGCGTAAGACCATGCACTGGGACCTGGAAGGGGCTTTAAAGGGCATCTCATCTGACACTTCCATTTTACAGATGAAGAAACTGAGGCCGTACCTTGCCTAAAGTTTCACACAAGTAGTAAGCATCAGAGGTAGTGTCTGAGCTTGGGACCTCTGACTCCAAAGTGAGTTTTCTTTCCCCAGCACCACTCTGCCTGGTCTTGCTAACTGCAGGAGGTCAGTAAAGAATTTTTTGCCAGGACTCAGTGCCTCCCTTCCCAGCTGTAGCTGAGAAGACCCCAGATCTAGTCCCCTGGTTAAATGCCACCTCCTTCTGCAAAAGGCCTTTCCTGATGCCTTTAAGTAGCTGTAATTTATCCTCTACATTTTATTGGGATGTTTTTGTATGTTGTCTGTTATCAGGCTGTTGTTCCTTAAGGACTGGGGCTGTTTTGGCCTCTGTTTGTATTCCTAGCACAGTGGCCAGCACACAGTAGGTACTTAATAAATGCTTGTTGACTTGACTTGATAACCTGCCTCTCTTGCCACCCCTTCCAGGTATCCTACTACAACCAGGCTACTACCAGTTTCCTGAACTACGTGACGACCAATGTGGCAGGGCTGTCATCTGAATTCATCACCACCTTTAAGGCCTGTGAGCAGTTTCTCCTGGACAACAAGAGTGAGCTGGCCCTCAGCCTTCAAAACCTTTAGTGCCTCCTCCCTGGCCCACTCCAGCACTGTTCCCATTGTTCAGCCGCTACTCAGGCTCCTTCTGTCCTCTCCTACTCTGTACCACCCCATGGAGCACAGGGCTCAGTGGAGTGGAAGGGGCAGGGGGCTGTGCTGAGCCTTCCATGCAAATCTGTCCCTCCTGGCTAGTGAAGATTGGTCTCCTGGTGATGCCTGCTCCTAGGCTGTGCCCTGAGCCGGACCATGAAGATAGCTCATTGCCCCAGGATTGACTCTTCTGGCGCACTTTCATCTGACCTTTGATTTTGTCTGTGGCTCGGGCTGTTAGCAAGGCTGTGCCCAGTGGGGAGTGCATAGTTTGGGGATCTCCTAGCAGTCCAACCTATGGATCTGGCCTCCATCTGGAAGAACACAGGCAGTCAGCTCCCCATATCCCCTTCCTACCAGCTCCAGCCAGTATCTATGTAGGTGGGTGTGTAGCAGCCTTGTTAAACTCATGATTGGGCCAAATAGACACCTGGTGATGGGAGAGAAGACAGCAGTAAGGACCTAGGTCCCAGCAGAGGGGCTCCAGGTCCTTCACAGGCAGGACTGGGACTGGATGGCCAGGCATGGCCACATAGATCTGTGTTAGGGCTGCTGAATGCGCCCCCAGGGAGAACACAAAAAGGCAGGTCCCATAAGGCCAAAGTCGGGTCCTTACACCCAGAAGTGCTGGAGAGCAGGGGTGTCCCAAGGTGCCTTGGGATGGTCAGGGAGGAGGAAGGGAGAGGGCAATAGGCCCCAGGGGCAGCTTGGGAAGAGTTCCTGGTGTCATCCATCATCAGCAGCCATCAGCCATCTGGATCTGTGTCTCAAAGGCCTCTAAGGGAAGGATTGTAAATACAGTCGTTAATTTGTAAAACACAATAAACAGCCACCTCCTCTCTAGACTCGGGTCTGTCTCTTCACATGCCATCCTCGTGCACTCCTCCCCAGCCCCACGCCTGCTGCCCCACGGCAGTCTGATGTCAAGCTGCTGGGGAGACGGAGGCAGAGGTGGGATTAGCTGGAGCCCCCCTCCAGCCTAGACTGGGAGGCTAGAAAATCCCAGAATCTCTGACCTGGAAGAGACATCAGCCTGTCTAGCCCAGCCCATACTTGGATGAGAATCCCCTCCCACAGCTCTCCTAAGAAATCATCATCAGCCTCTATGGAAGATCTCCAGGGAAGGGCGACCCATCACCTCCCAGGGCCAATTGTTCTTCTCTGGACAGCTCTAATTCTCTGGAAGTTTTGTATTCCTGATGTCAGACTGAATGTTGCCTCTCCTCAGCCCCTTCCCGTTGTTCCTGGTTTGGCTTGGTTCACAGTAGGAGCTTAATAAATGCTTACTGACAGACATCACTTAAATGTGCTTCTTTACATCTCCCACCCATGTTCCTCATTCTGCCCTCTGGGGCCAAGCAAAGCAAGTCCAATCCCTCTTCCAAATCTGGTTGCTCAGTCATTTCAGTAATATCCGACTCTCTGTGGCCCCATTTGCGGCTTTCTTGGCAAAGATACTTGACCACTCCTTTCTCCAGCTCATTTTACAGATGGGGAACCTGAGGCAAACAAGGTAAAGTGACTTGCCCAGGGTCACACAGCTTGTAAGTATCTGAGACCAGATTTGAACTCCAGAGGATGCCTCTTCCAGACTCCAGGTTTGGGCTCTATGCACTATGGCACCACCTAGTGCCTCTTCCAAATGATGGGTACTCAGATACTTGACAACACTCATATTCTCTCCAGTTCTTGCATTCTCCAGGATAGGTACCCTCAGTTCCTCCAACTGGCAAACGTAGTTGGTGCAGTGGATAAAGTGTTAATCTTAGAGTCAGGAAGACCCGTCTCAAACACTTACTAACTTTTCCAGCCTTAATTTCCTTATTCATAAAATGGGCTCATTACCTTATAAGATTGTCATGAGGCTCAGATAACACATAAAGACAGTCAGTCAACAAACATTTATTAATCGCTTACTATATGCCTAGTACTAAGAATAAACATATAAGCAAAAAGAGAGACAGTCTGTGCCTTCAAGGAATCTACAGCCTAATTGGAAAGTCAATACATTAAAGGAAGTTGAAAAGGGGGGAGGAGAGAAGGTACCCAGCACATGATGAGAAATTCAAGAGTGTGACCAGGTGGGAAATGTAAAGCGATATGCAAACCTGGAAGTGACCTATAAGTTCTAGCTGTCATTGTTATTATAATTATTGATGGACTCAAGCCCTTCACCAACTTGAGTGCCTTCCTGTGGACACTGTCCAGCTTATCAATGTCCTTCCAAAATGGTGGAGCTCAGAATCGAATACCAAATGTGATCTGACCAGGGCAGAGGAGAGCAGCTCACATCCCCTCATTTGACTGATGCCCCAGAAGGATAAGGGATTCACCCAAGGTAAATGGCTCATGACAGCCATAGGAGGGAGGCTGGGGGAGGACTATTCCTATTTTGCATGTGGGGAAGCTGAGGCCCTAAGGAGAGATTTACTTGCCCACAGTTACATGCTATGTTTGTGACTGTGCTGGAAAGAGGACCAGGTGTCCTGCCTCCCGGGCCAGTGGCACTTCCCACTATACCAAGGGTTCTTAACTTGTGGTCTATGGGCCTCCAAAGGGTCCATGGGTAGATTTCAGCGTATCCATAAACTTGGGGCTAAGAGCTGTCCTTACCTGGTGCTTCTGATGCTTTTGCTCTACTGTTGTCTTCAATGTCAAGCATCAGCTTCTCATCTCCCAGGGCTCTCCAGGTTGGTTCTCCAGGCGGCATACTCAGCTTAGCCAGTGGGACCCACCACCCACTCACTGGTGGTACCCTCTGCCCTTCTGTCTCCCTCACCCAAGTCTGCCAGGCTCAGCACAGGGGCAAGAGAGGGACTATTCCTCTGACCTGGGTCCCTGATGGATGTGCTAGTTCAGGTGGTCTTTAGATAAAATCTTAAACTCATAGGATCCCAGACTCTCACCTCACACCAAGTCTAGCGAGATGATGTGCAACAACTCCCCATCTCCCGTCTATCCCCACCCAGCTTGGTTCTCACAGTGATCTTCCTAAAGCATTGGTCTGGCCATGTCATGTTCCTGTTTGATTAGCTCCAGTAGCTTCCTACATCCTCCAGGATCAAATAAAACTCTCCATTTGGCTTTTAAAGCCCTTCACAACCCAGCCCACTCCCACCTTTCCAGTCTTGTTACATCATACTCCTCTTCTACCCAGGGACAAAGCTCTGCTCCTTGCATGAGAACTGCCATCTCCAGACTCCAGACATTTTCCCAGGCTGTGTCCCATGCCTGGAATTCTCCACCTCTGGAGATCTTTGTCTCCTTGTTTAAGCCTCAGCTGAAGTCCCACCTTCTACAAGAAGCCTCTCAAGCTCTCTTTATTCCAGTGCCTTCCCTTTGAGATCATCTCCAACTTAGTCTGTCTATATCTTGTTTGTAAAGGTTGTCTTCATGTTGTCTCCCCCCTTATATTATGAATGCCTTGAGGAAGAGACTGTTCTTACCTTTCTTTGTATCCCTGGCACTTAGTATAGTGCCTGGCACATAGTAAGAACTTACATGCTTATTGACTGACATTTATCTAAGCAGGAACCTCCTCTATGGCATCTCTAAGGAGAGACTACCTAACCTCTTCTGGAAGGTCTCCAGGAAGGGGGATCCTACTATCTCTTGAGTGAGACCCCCCAATCCCTTTTGGGGCCACTTTCATGGTTAGGGAGTTTTTCCTGACATTGCTCCCAAGTCCCTTCTGCAACATTCTCCATTGTGCCTGGTTCTGCCCTCTGGGGCCAAGTAGAACACATCTAATCCCTCCTTTCCATGACAGCCCTTCAAATACTAGAAGTCATGTGCCAGTCCCTTACTTACCTCTTACCCCCATCTCAGCCTTCTCCAGGCTCAACATTCCCAATGCCTTCAGCTACACTGTGTGATGGTCTCCAGTCCTCACCCCATCCTAGCCCACTTCTGGACTGCTCCAGTTAGATGACATTTGATTCAATTCAATCCAGTCCAAGACACATTTATCAAATGTCTATTAGGTAACTGACTCTGTGCTAGGCACAATCTCTTCCATTTTCCTCATCCCATATGTCCAATTGGTGGCCAAGTTCTGTCACTTCTTCCTCCATAACATCTCTCTTTCATCTCCTCTTTATTCAGGTAGCCACCACTTACCACCAGTCTTCTTGCATTGGTCTTCTAATTGGCTTCCCTGGCTTCAGTTCCTCCCTACCCTAATATATTTTTCATGTGGCTGCCAAATTGATATTGCTAAAGGTCAGGTCTTCTCCTCTGCACAAGAAGCTTCAAAGATTCCCTCTTACCTCAATGATAAGGTAGAAATTCTTAAGTTAGATGGTAACTGGGTGTTATTGACAATATTGCCAAGGATGGCTGAGGAGGCAGTAGTCAGGAGGGCTTGGGTTTGACTCTTGACTCTGGCACTTACTTGCTGTGAGACCCTAGTAATGTCACTTACTCTCTCTAAGCCTTCGGCTCCCTAACCTTATAAAATGGGGCCAGTAATCCTTGAAGTTTTCACCCTACAATACCATTGTGATACTCAAATAAGAGTACTCTACAAACAGCTACAGCTATTATGAAGAGGCAGTGGGGCAAAGGGGAGAAAAAGGACTGTCTTTGGATCAGGAAGAGCTATGCTCATTCTTACTTCTGACATAAAATGACTCTGTGACCTTGGGCAAGTCATTTCTCTCAGTAACTCCACACAGCTTTCTAGGACTGAGTTGTGGAGGAGGTCTTGATTTGCATTAATGGAAGGAATTTCCTTGCTGGGAGTTCTCTTGGACTAATGAAATCACACGTGTAATCCAAAAAGATCTTCTTATTTTTTAATTGTCAAAATTTTGGGCAGCTAGGTGGTGCAGTGTATAGAGCCCTGGCTTTTCAGTCAGGAGGACCTGAGTTCAAATGTGACCTCAGACATTTAATACTGCTTGCCTCCAAACAAACAAACAAACAAACACAAAAAAAGAAAAAAAAAAGAAAATTCTCTAATTGTTAACATTTCATGTTGGTCCTACGGTTTTCCATGTGTTTTGCCTACACTATTTCATTTTAGACCAATATAGCTCTATCTAAATTTGAGATATTATTGTTGTTGTGATTTTTATTATTATTATCTGGGATTCCTCGTCTGTTTAAGAGTGAAAAAATGAGTAGAATGGGTTGTTGTTGGAAAGGAGAGGGATAAGAGACTTGAGACTGAGGCAGTCAAAATGGCGGAGTAGCAGGCACTACAGTATAGCTCCCCCAGCCTCCTTCACTAGCTTCTAGAAAATATATCAAACCATGTTCTGACTGGATGGCCAAGAAAAAGTGACAGTGTGTCATTTTTTTTTCCAATTCAGGGTGACTTAGGGAGGCAAACAGAGTGGTCTTTCGGTACTAGGGATGAAGTCTGTTCAGGAGCACACTGTGTGGGATACGTTCCATCATGCAGAGATTAAAAGAGCTAAGACTGTGCACTGGGTCAAGAAGCCCCAA